CTGTGAGCATAATCCTGCCTCATACAAGTGCAGTGAGATGGTGGACGGTACCATGGGAGGTACAGACATGGCTGTAGTGCATTGAATAGTCGACAATGATACCGTTGGGGAGCTTCGGGCCTGGTGAACAATCATCCTAGCTTGCCTCGCATTTGTGCTCCTTGGCCTTCCGAGTCTTCATTTCATTGGCAATTTCCTTGTAGCAACCATTGCTGCCAACATCTTTGCACAGCAGTGTCTGTTCGCTGAAGGTGGCAGCCTATTGCTCGTCAAGACCACCCAGCTTCACGCAATACTACAATGTGACCACGTTCAAAGTCGTTTAGTTGTCTGTAAGGTCTTTGATATCGTTGTAATGGCATCTTTAGTTGCCTCTTTACGAAATTACAATGGAAGTAAAAAATAAATAAATAAATAAATAAAAATAAAAAGAAGATAAATTTTCTGCCTCTGCTACTGGTTTTATACTTTGTGAATTGTGCATTAGAAATGCGCGTTATGATCGCAATTCCTGTTCATTTGCCTTGAAACTTGGATCATTTGGATGTTCAATGAAGATGTTTTTGCATACCAAATTTCATCACGGTCGCAAAAGTGCTTCTTGGTGCTTCGATTCTTTTGCTGAAGAGTGTCTATATATATATAAATCTATCTAAATTTTTTAAAATTTTAAGCAATTATTTTATTTTTGTTACTATTGTACAAAATGATCGCTTGATTCATCTCTAAATGGGAGAATTTCATTATATTAATTAATAATCGCTTCAAAACGTTCAGTTTTGCAGTGGCTAGTATGTCGCGCAGCAGCACCACAGGTCCAGGGCTTAATCCCTGGGTTGGGCAAAGTTGATGAAGCATTTCGTCACTTGAGTAAGTTGATAAAATGAGTACTAAGTTTGCCTAGGGACTAAAAACCGGGGGGGGGGGTTACTGCAGTAAGCTAACCGCACTTTGTCCCGTGTATAATATGCTCATGAACTCTGGTCACAGTCAAAAAAGCAGATATTAGGGCACTGCAGGCCATGGCTGACTAAGGGGCTATTGTGCCCTTGAGTTTACTTTTCTAGTAATCGCTTCACTCTTTGTATTTGAGAGAAATTTGTTGAAATAAATTTATTTACTGCTTACATAGTAAACTTATCACATTGTGTTTTATGTATATAGAGTTGTATTAAATCACTAAGTAAGTGTTATATTTTTAAAGATTTGAATGTTTCTACCATGAAAAAATGCAGAAAGTAAATTTAGGAAATTAAATATGTTATACAAGCTTAAAATAGAACACAGGTATTATAAAATTCTCTTTTTCGATGTGTGTGTTTTTTGTTAATCATGTATCATTAAATGCAATACCTTTCATTATTGAAACAGTGATCTGAATCTGCTCAGTCTGTGTCCAGGGTTCGTACGGTCCTTAAAGAGTCCTTAAAAAGTCCTTAAGTTTTTTGGAATCGATTTTGGTCCTTAAAAGTCCTTAATTTTGGACAAAATCGGCAGAAGGCCCTTAATTTTAATCCTGTGAAATTTCTGTCTGTTTTTATGACTGCCATTTTGAGTGTGAATTAGCAGTTTGGAGGTATATTTTTGGCGATTCACTGATAAATATGGTTATTTAAATGGGTTATGATTTGTTCCTATTTCTAATATAAATGGTGGGATACTCGAGTTTATGAGCAAGAAGTGAAACAAGTATTTCGAAATTATTTCACTTTTTCTAATGAAGGGCTCTTAAACAACTTTTCGCTTTTGGGGATGTGAATTCTTTTATTGAACGGCTCTAAATTTGGCGACTTATCAACATTTTGGCGATTTTTAAGATCAGTTTCTATAGAAAATTTTAATTTCCATGATTTGGGAATTTTTCGACGATTTTTTTTAAACATTCTAACATTGATAAATATCATTAAAATAATGGTAATATATTGAAATTATATTTAAAAAATAACATATTAATTAAAAATATCTTCTTTTTAATTTTTTCATGATAAGAATTTTCTCATGTAATTGTCTCAGAGTGTTCAGAATTCTCAGAATATGCATCAGTTTTCTCTTTAAAATTAATTTCACACTTTTTCCATCTGATTTTTTTTAAAAAATATTTCTGGCTGTTTGCTGTTACAAAATTCGTAGGCGTAATTTTTCTTCCGGACATTAGACATTGCAACTTGAAAAGTTTAGAAGGATTTGAAAGCAAGATTTGTAGACCCACCATTCCAGAAGATTTTAGAAAATTGTGACAAAATGAAAAATGTATCTATGGTATTAACACGTAATGGATGTATTTTGCAGAAAGTTTGCAATGAATTTCTTCCTTTTGGAGAACATCTGGAAGAAAAATGAAAACATAATATTTGAATGCTTTACATTTGAAACTAGAATCTTTTTCTTAACATGCTTATCTTCCCTTTATATTCTCTACTTTTTACTAGACACAAGTATGAAAAATATTAAAAATGCTTCTAATCTTATCACATGGATAGGCATTATAGAAAGGAATTTTTTTATTAGTAAAGAAATTGAAAACTGGCAATTTAAAAGATTCATCTAATATGTCTTAATGCATCATACACAGGTCTGATGCGAGGCATTTTTCCACCTGGTGCAATCACGTGGAATATTAAACTTATCTCTGTCGATCCTAAATTTTGCTGACTGGTGCCTTTCTAAATTCTGCTTCGAGTGCCTGCTCTAAATTCTAAAAGTTTTGCCATTTCTACATTTTGGTGCTCAGTGTGTCACTAAATTCTAAAAATTCTGCCACACCAGCTCTGTAACCGGACCTTACCATATATATTTCCTATTTCTCCTGAATGGTCATATTACTAAAGAAATAAAATTAGCAGCTTTTTCTATACATTCTAAATGCATTAAATTTTTTTAGAATAACAGAAATCTTTAATTAAATCCAAAAATTCTATAATGAAAAGGAAGCGTGTTGAAGAAAGAAATTGAGTACATACAGTGAAAGAAAATTGTTCTTCAAATATATATACAGGTATTATTATGTAAATTACCCAGTTGTTTATAATTTCAGCCTTTACTATAATTTCCCCGTTTCTATTTCCTCCCCAGAAAGCAAATCGCATAGGCAGTTTTTAAACTGAGGTTTTTGGTGTGCAAGACAGAATGTGTTTTTAATCTCCACATGCTCGTTGCATTAGTTCCTGCCAGCTCTGATAATTTGCAACTTTTTGTCTTTGCATTATCGCTGCTGACATTTGAATTTGTTATGACAATAGAGTTACTGAGCCAGCTTAAATTAAAATTAAATTGCGTAGTCTTTGACCACTAGTCCACATTTTTTTATTTGAATGTGATTGTTCTTGTTTAATTACATGACCACAAACTGCAATTGAATTGATTAGCATAAGAACATGCATTTGAGTTCTTTTTAAATAAGAGGCTTATTTAAACGTTTGTATGACTTTGTAGTTACTTTGAGACATAGCGATAACTTGCTTCATGTCTGTCTGGAGTTTTTGGACTATTTAACTTTTACCAGATCATTAAACCCTCATAGGTACATTGTAGAGAGGTTGACAACTTAGGAGATAAAGTACGCAGAAACTAGTCAGAACATTGGGTTGTGTATTCAAACAGATTTTTAATTCTGAGAAAATATGTTTAAAGAGAAGAAAATTGATATAAATTAAGCCAAAATGTCTGGGAAGGCTTCAAATTAAAAAGATGCATAAATATTTTGTTGAGTGTTGTTGCTATAAAACATAAATGTTTTGTAGCTTTTAATGTATAATTAAATGTTTTGTAGCTTTTAATGTATAATTATCCTAATATCGTTTAAAAATCAATGACATAAATTGCATGTATTTTAAAGTGTGAAATTTTATTAGAATGTGATTTTAATAGGGACTTTTAACAATATTGTTAAAAAATAAGTAAAATTTAATAGTAATCATGTAAATCCATAACTCACTAAGGGTTTTCTAACAACCCAATTTCAATTTATTAACTTATAACTGCTTACTACCTTAAAAATGATCTCTGCATAGTTTAAAGGTGAGTTATTGCCTTTCATTTATTCCTTACCGTGGTCACAAGGTTAAAACTCAAAAATGTAAAATTCATGCAAAACTTATTCATTAGTATCTAGTGAGACCTGAAATAATACAAAAGCAACTTGGTGTCACCTCTGGTGCTTTAGTGGCTTATTGGAACCTTAAAGTATATTAACTGCATTACAACCCCTGGAACTCTACACGGAGCTAATGACACTAACCGCATCAGACAGAGCCCAACTAACTTTCAAAACTTAGCTAACCGTGCCTACATCAGGCCTCTCAGGTTTTGTTCTGATCAGCAGGTCTCTCTCTAGGTAGAGGAGCAGCGGTGACAACAGCCAGTCTTTGTTATAAATCATGCTGATTATTGATTTTACTTCTCATTTTAACGTATGACACTTGACATAAAATCTACCTGCTATTACTAAACCTCTAGATTGAGCAAGTAATGAGACATGAAAAAATCAACATGAAACTAACTATTAGTAAAATGTAATAAAATGTTACTTATCTTCATTCAAATATACTGAACTATTGTAAGTCTAAAATATTTAATGCTGTTTTATAAATTTCATAAAGTATATTTTATGCTCAAATTAATTAATGATTATGTTAATTAAGTTATGTTTAATAATAATGCATCCTACTTACGGATCTATTTTGTTTTTTGCGTGGTATTACGAAAGTGAAGTTCAGACACAGATAATATTTTAGTTGAATTTATTAATTTGCTATTTGCGCATAGGTCCTTAATTTTTTTCAGTAATGGTCCTTAAAAGTCCTTAAAAGTACTTAATTTCCATGTGCAGAAATGTGTATGAACCCTGTGTGTCACTGCTGTTCTATTGAACTATTGTCAGTTTAAAATTTTGTAGTTATTTATAGTGTATATAAGTTGGTTAAAAAACCATTAAAGAACTTGTTTTATCAAAAATAAGTCTGTTGGTTATATTAACACTTAAAATATTTCATGTTTTCTAGAAATAGCACGCAACCATACTGAAAGTGAAGATGACTCTGGCGCAGCTGCTTCCACCAGTAGTTCAACAAGTCAACAGCATTCAAATGCTGATAACAAAGTGTTTCCATCTTATTCCTTCCAGGAGAAGAAATGGAGAGCTTCTGCATATGATTATGAAGCACGTTTTTGTGGCCATTGTAATACGACGACAGATATTAAGGAAGCCAACTTTTTTGGAAGGTTATTTTTTTCCCTGAATCCTATCATAAAAATTAAAATATTTTAACTATGTATTTGTATTATGTTAAGAGTAAAAAGAATCCACCCTTATTAAAATATTATTGAGCATGATGACACTTGCCATTTTCATGTTAAGGAGCAATGAGCATATAAAGAATAAGAGGTGATTAACATTTGATAGTACTTGATTTAATTATTGAGGCAAACATAGGTCTAAAACCATTTCATATTAGTATAATACACAACTGTCTGGAGTGGCAGTCAGTGAAGGTATTCAGTCTGAGCTGTACTCACGGACATTGTTTGTATTGAGAATAGGTAGATTGCTAATATACTTTGCTAATATAGAACTACAGTTATGACACATATAATCTACCAAAAAATATCTTCTGAATAGTTACGTAGATTCAGATACATTTGCAGTTGCAATTTACGTCACAATCCTTGCACCTTTTGATTAATAATATGCGATTAGTAATCAAAATATGCAATAAAGTTTTCAGTTCAAAATAAAAGTTCAATACAAAAATCTAGGATGCAACTTAATAAACCTTCCATTTCTTGTCAGGGCAGTTTTTGAGTTCATTGATGGGACAGGAAGAGATTGATTAGACAAGGAAATTTTCCCTTCTTCATTTGGATCCTCTTCATGTAAAGCGCATTTCTCCAAGGGGAGAAATTTCTGAATGGATCATACAATTTCTCTCTACTCTTAGCTTCATGTTTTCTACATTTTGTTCATCAGGATATAACATTTTGAAATGTCTTCTACTTTTAAGCATCCAGAATGTCTTAGCTCTTAGAACATGTAAGCAGACGTAGGGCATCTTTAAATGCAAATCTTTAATGATATATTCAAGAAGTTTATGATTGCTTGCAAACTGCATGGGGTAGATAAAATCTTTGTGATCTTTCAGTCAGCTTGGTTTTGACTCTGATGATATTTTCTCCATCCATAAAGACACTTATTGATTTCAATTTCTTAACATTGAATTAAATTTCTTAACATTAAATTGATTGTCAAATACTTCTTATATTAACTTCACAAGGCTTCTCTGATGCAAACAGTTTGGAAACATTCTTTCTCTTCTGTGCATTCCTAACAAATCTAAAGAACCTTTCTACCATTCTTAAAATTTTTATATATGTTGAAAAATAATCCATTGTCAGCAAATTCGTACTGCTATTACGATGTCATATTGGAGCTATAACCTTTTTCTTTTTGGCTGTTATTTCCTTTTCATTTTCAATTGAATTTTAGATGGGCGACTTTCCTTCACGTCACGTTTTGCTACATTGTTACCTAAGCCTGCCTTGTTTGCAGATATACTTATGATTCTTCCATGAAAAACTACAAGTGGCTAAGAAAAAAGGAGAAAAGTTACAAGCTATAAGGAAAGAAACTGTAAAGAAAATTTACTATAGAGCAGCGATTCACAGTTGGTAGTATGCAAAGAAAGTATTTTAACTATTAAATTAAAAAATTAAATACCCCAACATTCTGTTTAAGTTTTTTCCTCAAACATTCGTAAATTTATGCAATCTGAGCTTTGTTCAAGGTCAATAGCCGCTCATAGACTTCAGCAAAATAATCTGTTTTTATTTTCACAAATATTCTTTGAGGAGTAGACAAAACAAAATTTGTCGTAAATGATGTTTTTAAAGGTAGTAATAGAAATGGATGTTGTATTTAATAGGAAATAAAAATAAATTCCTATAAAAAGATAATAGTATCTTATTAATTCTTTTAGAGTTGATCAATTTATTTGCATGTCTACACTTTATGTCTCTACCGTTTCTGGGCTCATATCACTCTGTTTTCAATTAGAATAATTTTTTATGTCGATTTCCTGTCTCTAACTGCAGGTATTTTGTCTTGTTGCTTTGTATTCATTACTTTTCTGCGCAATTTGGGAATATCGTCATCTGTTTTTGAAGAACTCATCATATATTGTGCATTTAAATATCTGTGAAAAAAATAATAAAACACCCCTAGATTTTCAAAATGGAAAGGATTGAATAAGCGTAGAAGTGGTGACTCACAGTTGATGGATCCAGGACAATCTACTAGACCTTAGAATACTGGAAAGAAAAGAAAAATTTTTTATAGAAAATGTAATGAAAGTTAATTTATCATTTGGGTTTACTTGGAATGAAGCCTCAACCTCAGTGTGTTGTTTGTGGTGAACTATTATCTAATCAAAATTGAAGCCATAGTTTCTTAAAAGACATCTTGAATCTTAGAATGCCAATTTAAATGATAAATCTGAAGAATGTTTTAAAAGGAAATTATTGGAGTTCAAAAATAGAAAGTAATGAAAGGTTTTTATTACTTCAAATGAAAAAGCTTTGGAAGCTAGTTACCTGGTAAGCCTAAGAATTGCGAAGACTGGGCAGGCTCACACTATGGGTTGAAAACCTTATAATATTTATTACCAGCAGCTAAAGGTATCGTTTTAACATTATTCAATGAAAGACCAGCTAATGAACTTGATAATATTCTGTTATAAAATGGTATATTAAATCAATGAATTAATGAAATTGAGTATTTCGCATTGCAATTAGATGAAAATACAGATGTAATGAACTTTATTCAATTATTAATTTACATACTGTTATGTGCCTAAGGGTTTGTATTAGATTGAATGCAGTCAGATGGTAGGTTAATAAAATTTATTTTATCAAAAGAAACTCTTTAAAGTTCTGAAATTTTTCATAGAAATACTCGTATGTGTGTTCACAGTATCACAGAGTACAATCAGTAGTTTTATTTCAAGCTACTAAGCATGTTAAACACAACTCAATGTAAAGGTCCCTAAGGAGAAAGCGAATCTGGAAATATCTCACTTTCACAACTCACAACAGCAATAGTAAGAGCAGATGCTCTCTCCAGCCTTATGTAGTTTTAAACTGGTACAAGATATTTCTTATACTTTCTGTCTCTTGAAATTACTGGAAAGCAATATGAGGGTCGAATTACGGTTACAGCTAACATAGTAATCAATTATATTTGTTCAATTACAGTACCTATTACAGTGATGCAGGGACTAGACCCAAATGTCGACAGTTGGCAACTTTTCGTGTTTTCACACCAAATTTGGCGATAAAATAAGTCGCCAAAACTGTTGTTGGCTTTGCAATATCACCAAATTAGAGTTACCCATTTACCACTCATTGTTAAATGCACTTGCCCCTGTATTCTTACTTTTCCAGCATAGCTTGTCTGTTAAATTTTTCTTATGTTACATTACACAAAAAATACAACAATTTCACATTTAATTCCACAAAAATCATCTATCTTTGTACAAAATTCGTAACAGTTATCTTTCGAAGAAGATAAACAAATTGCCCAAGAGTATTTTGTGAAGCTTCACAATACAGCAACTGCTAGTGAAATTTTCTAAGTAATTGGCAATTTTACGTCTGACAATGATATTCCTTGGAATAACTGCATTGTCGTATACAGTGGCAGAGCTCGGGCTTTAACAGTAAAGCATTCTGGTGTTATTTCTAAAATAAAAAGAGGTTGGATCTGAAAATAAATTTAATCACTGCTCCATTCATCATGAAGCTTTAGTAGCCAAAACAATCCCCCAAAACCTGAAAATCCTTTTGAATATAGCTGTGAAAATTGCTAATTTTATTAAAAGCCGAGCTTTAAATTCAATAATATTTATGATTTTATGACAAGAGGTGGCAGTGAACACGAAACACTTTTGTTACATTGTAAGGTGGTTACCGAGAGGGAAAGTTTTAAATCATCTTTTTTAATTTTCATTAGGAATTCAAATTTTCCTCTGAGATTCAAAATTTGAATTGCTAAAATGTTTATTTACTGAATTATAGTTGGTGCGTTTAGCATATTTAGCTGATATTTTTGGAAAATTAAGTGAATTAAATTTAGGATTACAAAGTGTTAATTTCTTTAACATTAGACATAAAATAAATGCAATGATAAAAAAAAACTCGAGCTAAGAATGAAAGAATTGGATAATAATATTTTAAGCTTTCTATCACTTTTAGAAAGTTTTCTAACTAAAAATAATTCGAAAATAAAAGAAGAATTAGAATCCAACATTAAAAATCTTTGTTTTTCATTGATAACTAATTTCAGCTTGTGTTTTCCTGAGGATTATGAAAAAGAAAACTGGATTAGAAATCCATTTTGTTTAAAATGTACCTAAAATTAATTAGATTAGAAATCCATTTTATTCAAATTTACCTGAAATTAATTGGATTAGAAATCCATTTAGTTGAAATGCACCTGAAATTTTATCTCGCAAAGAAAAAGAGCAATTGATAGAAATTTTCTGTGATCGAACTCTTAACTGAAGATTTCAGAAATAACTTTTGGCTGAACTGATAAAAACAAATTTTAAGGCATTTCAAATAAAGTCATTAAATTTTTATTGCCTTTTTGCACAGCATATTTGTGTGAACAGGGATTTTCTTCCACATTATATTTGAAAATTAAATACAGAGCAAAGAGACCAGAGATAAAGAAATTAATCTCTCTTAACCCTTTTATGCGCGGTGGTCGCGCCCTGAAACCACCATTTTCCGAATTTTTTTCCTCCTCTTTTTTCCGAAATCTTCGAGTGAAAATTAATTGATTACTGATCTTTTACATCTAAATAACACAAAATGACTGTAGAATCATATATGTTTTAGGTATTAATACGAGGTGTATTCGGAAACTAAGTACCGTTAAAGAAAAAAAAAAAAAAAGTAAAACAATTTTTTCGAATCCAATTTTATTTTTACATGAAAATACATGTTTTAAAGTATTTTTCAACTTAGTTTCCGCCAATGATCACACACTTGTCATAGCGGGTGACCAGTTTTTGTATACTATTGTCAAAGAAACTTCCCGCCAGTTTCGATAACCACAACTCCACAGCATTTTTCGTGTCATCGTCAGATCCAAAGCGCTTGCCACCAAGCTCGCGCTTCATGTGCAGAAACAAGTGATAGTCGGATGGCGCCAAGTCCGGGCTGTA